CAAATAAATTTTTTGATTATATAATAATAATAATAATAAACCAATAATTGATTATATTTTTTTATAATGTTACAAAATTTTAATTAAAAAATAGAGTTTATTTATACAGTATAAGTATATTTATAAAAAATTTTTTTAATTTAAATTTTAAAAAGTGATGATTTAATTAAATACATGTTTTTATTTTTAATTATTATTTTAAAGATGTAATTTAATATTTTTTAAATAAAATCAGAATTATTATCTTATAATAAAATTTATTTTATAAAAATAATGATGCAATGTTTATATATGTTTTTTTAAAATATAAAAACAAAAAATTTTAGAAAATTATCTTATTTTAAATTTATAATTTTATGAAATAATAAGTTTTTCTTTTTTCTTTTTAATTAGCTAAGGGCATTAGATGTGAAAAAATAATAAGTCTTGCTATATTATTTTTATTTTCATTTACTGGTTTCTTAATATTTGGCTTTGGTAAAAAAAATTTTATTAAAAAAAATATTATTATTATTTTAAATACCAATAAATTTATTTAGCTAATATCAATATTTTGATTTTACTTTGATGGGCATTGTAAATTCAATAATACAAAGCAATTAGAGAAAAAATTTTATTAAGAACATTCTTAAATAAGTATGTCGTAAGATAAAGTCTTTGGCGATATAGAATATGTTAATAAAAACACACCGATAGAATATTTTAAATTCACAAGCTGCGGAAATTTGATAGATATTTTCCACGAAAATTTAAATATCAAGTTACAAGAATAAGTGTTAATATGCAATGCCAAAAAGAGAACAAAATGCAGTGGATATTGAGATGAACAATAGAGGAATCTGTAAATAACAAATCAAGTACAGTAAAACTATTGCCTCTACCAATCTTTCTTTTTCTTAATTCGCATTTTTAGTTCACTGCAATTTCTAAGAGCAGTCATACGATACTTTATTGGCGCGTTCATATCCGTTAGCTCGACGTCGTATTTTCTGTACAATAAAGCCACGAAAGTTTTTAACTCCAATAATGCCAAATTTTTTCCAGGGCCTGTCAAAAGAGTAAATAAGCGCAACGTTAATTTCTTGCCGAACATGATTTATATAGCACAGTCTCTGATAAATAAATAACCTACAAATTCTTTTCCCCAAACTGAAAGAGTAAAGAGGTTTTTTACTTTCCGGGTTGCTCTTATCCATAAACCTTTCTGGATTAAACTCTTCCGGATTCGTCCATGTGGATTTATGATTATGAACTCCTTGTAAATTAATAAAGAATTGAGTGTTTGCAGGAAATTTTATACCGCCAATTATATCAGGATTGGTGTTTTTTTTAAACATAATGGGAACAGTAGAGAATATTCGAAAACCTAAATTGTTAATACAAAAGAGGATTTTTTAGAATACTTGTGCGTTGAATCCACGAATTATATTTACAGTATATTGATAAGTGACTTTACATTCTTTAATTATGGCTTCACAATATTCAAGGTTCTCTGCTTCTTCATAAGTAATTTTGTGGTTCGGATCTTTTCCCAAGACTCGATTGATCTCGTCTACCAACCGTTCTCTAACTTTTGGATAATGAGATATGTAATGAATCACAAAGCAGAGAGAATTTGATGCCTAATTTGGAATTAAATATTATTAATTAATGATCGAATATTACTTGGAGCGTAGAAGGAAATCGTCAGGAATAAAAATAAATCACCGTATCGATTCCACCTGCTATAGCTTCCATCATATTTCCACAGATTTCTTTGTCAGACATCGGTTGATCGTGT